GTGTGTGTGTGTGTTTACTACTGTTAGGCAACTTTGAAGAGCTCTTGACGACAAGACCTACTGGAGCGTTGAATTTAGATGAGAACCAAAAGAGGAGCCGTGACCAGCTCCTCGTGAACCTTGCCTTTGTATAAGATTTTTCAGTCACCTCACTACGAACTCACCGGATGGCTTTCTGACAATTTTTAGGTTCGTTTTGAGGATCTACCTGTTCCCGCTGCGTCTGTTGCACGTCTCCAATTGGTGCATTTACCTGAAACGGGACTTAATGATGTTGAAGTTCTACCTGCCTTTCAATTTCCTACTTGTGGCACTCTTCACGATGCATCTTATATGGGGCTGGGTACGTTATTCGCACGTGAATTACTACTAACACATAATGAGTAGATATGTCAGATTCCTTTTAACATGAACGCGTTAAAACTCGGTGCCTTTTCTGTCTGTTTAGTTTATACTTCAAATGGCTGTCCGTCTCGTATTGGGCCATTCAAGTCGGCTCGAAGACATTCGCGAGGAGGAGGAATCAAATGGAAATGTTCTGAAGGACAAGAAGGCATAGACATCCAATATTACTCGAGCGCGACACTTGAGTGACCTCCAAAGCACAACTGACCTCCAGAATTCGAGACCCATCCTTGCGAGTGTTAAACCACGTCTGCCTGGATTGAATCGCGTCCCCGCGAAGTGGTTTTCCCAAAACAACCCTGTCAGCGCGCGATTCCAGTCTCGTGTTCTGACAACACCCTTTTTTCCTGTTCATGACTTGAAGCCACACCTTGACGCTAGATTTCTGTGAAAGCAGCGGCAGCAGGGAAGGACAGAAAAACCCCCCGCCTCTCTACTCTAGTTTTATGCCCCCACCCCACACCCCCAACCTTCCAAATCACTGAGTTGCAGACATTTTCAAGTCTTTTCACTGACCTCTACAGCTACTCTGCACAGTTATTGCATTAATTTGTACAACGTATCAATCGTCTGGGATTTTTTGTGTCGGCTGGGCTTACGATCGATATTTCCGCGAAGAAGGAGGTATGATCGATAGAACAAGAGCTCTACCAGCCCGACGCGAAATAAAGGAAGGCCGACAAAAAGGGGCTATTGAAAATTTGTAAGTAGGTGTTTAAAATAATTAAAACAATTCTGAGACCCCACGACGAACGCTTACCTTCCATTCTCCCCATTGGATCAAACCTCAGAAACAGGATCAGATAGGAGGTAGTGGTTTACCCAAATGATTATGCATTTATGGAACGCACAGTGATCGATCGATTTCGATGTTGGCTAC